CAGCCAGCTGATCGAGTACTGACCCAGCTGAGCGGACTGACCAGCTAGGTACTGAGCTAAGGTGTGACTAAGGTAGTAGTAAGTCAGCTGTGGCTGGTGGAGCTCAGCCAAAAGTGGTTATGGCCAAATAACTGCCTGTGATCCAATGAGTGCAATCCTGACCATTGAAAGAATCAATGGCTGAGATTGGGGTATGAAAGATAGACGGTTTAGGGCAAAGGAAACCGTCCATAGGCTATAAAAGAGATGTATTTTTATGGAAAATGATATCTCTCACGCAAAAGGCGATTTATTCCCAAAACAGCCGAGAGAAATGATGATGTCTGGATTCCAGTCCAGTCGGCACCAGAGTGCTCCGACCATATCCGAGAGAAATCCGGCATCATCCGGAAGAAAGGAGATTTACTCGAGAAAAATTGAAGATCATCCGGGAGAAAGAGAGAATCTCCGAGAGATGATCGGGATAAACGGAAATCGCCGAGGGATGATCGGGATAAAGGAAACTTAGCCGAGAGAAAGGTAAGTTATCCGAGGGATAATGAGAAATGGTCGGCGTCTCGCGATGATAGTCAAGGGATGCGAATGATCGGTTGATCGATTCGCGACTTATCCGAGAGAAGCGGTTATTACCTTGACCATGTCCGAGGGAAGATCAGGATAAGGAAAATTATCTGAGAGAATGGAAACTTAGCCGAGAGAAAGGCAAGTTATCCGAGGAGTAAAGAAGAATGGTCAGATGTCTCCCGATGGTAGTCGGATGATGTGCAGGATCGATGGATCGATCCGTGACCACATCCGGGAGAAGCGGTTATACCGTTACCATGTCCGAGAGAAAGTAAAAATATCTGACAAGGGACAAGATTTACCGGATGTAACACGATGGTAGTCCGATGTCTCGCGGATATAGTCGGGTGATGCGAATGATCAGATGATTGGTTCGCGACAATATCCGAGAGAAACGGTTAAGCCGTGACTACATTCGAGAGAAACTCCGAGCGATGGATGTTCGCCTGAGAGAAAGGAGGTAATATCCGAAAGAGGAGAGGATTAGCTGAGAGTCTCGCGGTGATAGCCGGATGACGCGTGGGTTCGCCGGATAGGTTCATGACTATCACCGGGAGAAACGGATATATGCTGACCATATCCAAGAGAAATTCGAGGCGATGGATGTTCGTCTGAGTGAAAGGAGAGACATCCGGAAGGGAAGAAGATTACCCGGCAGTCTCGTGGTGATAGTCGGGAGACACGAGAGATCCGAGTATCGGATCGTGACTATAACCCAGAGATGACGGTTATACCGAGAGGATAGCCGAGAGAAATCATACCGCGCCGAGAGAACGGCTGAAGGGAAAGGTTTCATCCGAGAGATTATCCAGGATAATCAGATTGCCGAGGGATCTTTACCGAGGGTCATGAGATCTCTCAAGGATGGTCGGATGAAACGGACTACGATCGGGAGATAGCCGAATGTCCCCGACCACGATCGGGTGAAGCGTGGCTATTACCGAGAGAAGCAGGATTATATCTGAGAGAACGTGTCTAGGACCGTGAGAAATCATGAGTTGGCACGTGGAAAGGATTCCAGCCGAACATCGGTGGAATCGGGGAGCCGTATCGGAGGATTGACCACAGCCATACGATACTGGTCAAGTACCCCGTGAATGGTCACGACCGTTGGCGAATGGTCGTGATGGTAGGATGAATGGTCGGATGAAATGATCCGGATTGGATCATTTCTCACGATTCCAGTCAGGCGTTAGCCAGGAACTCTGACTACGGTCGAAAGAAACATGACTATGATCGAGAGAGATCATGAATTCATAAGGAGAACAAGAGTACGATTGGACTATACCGTAAAGGGAAGGACATTGACGAACGGGCGATCCTAAGGGACGACCCTAGTCGAGCCATGGGGCTGAATAGCCTCTCTGATCTAACCTAGTCATGTGGGGATGGTTGGTTGAATTACTAAGGAAGGATCGGAGATGGTGTATAAGCTAAGGGAGCTGATTGTACAACCATGAGCATGATCAGCTGAGTCCACCTGAGCTCAGCTGACTGGAGTGACAAAGGAGCTAGTCAAGGTGCAGCTACACCTCGTGGATATGGCTAAGGTATATATTAGTTAAGACTGTAGCTGGATTGAAATAGTTAGGGTATCGACTAGACTAAAACTTGAGCTGGATGGCTAGGATGTTGACTAGTCCGTAGCTGGAATGTTACTACCTGGATAGTCACTAACCTAGTTCTAAGTGGAATGGTCTAGGGGAATGGAACGGTTGATGCATATGTTTAGCTTGCACCGAGTCAAGGATCGATCTCTGAGCTGAACGGTGGTCAAGTGGACTACCGAAAGCAAGAGATCATCAGACCGGCAAGTGCTTGGTTAAGCTAAAACCAAGGAAAAGTATAGTTTTAAATACTAAAGGATTTCCGCTGCATAAGATAGTCTAAGCAATCAAACTTCATAGAGGAGATTTTGCTAAGTAAAGGCTTTAGAAGGGAGGTTCAGCCGAGGAATGCGGCCTGAACATGGAACACTCGTACTGCGGCCAAGGATGGCCGGGTCGGGGTGTTTCATCCTTGTTCTTGAACCGTGCTTCCTGAGCTTACAAAGCTTCAAGTACACCGAGCAGATCAAGATTCGCCATAAGTCTCTCCTTCCACATGTTGTAGTCGATCTCTCCGTCGAACTTCTCCAGCTCAACCTTTGACGACAACATCGTCCCTTAACGCAAACACCAAGTATCACACGGAAACAATCAGCGAACCTTCGCTCTGATACCACTTCTTGTAAAAATACACCTCCGTGAACCTGAATTGCAAACTCCGATTGACCGGAACTGAGATCGGAGAAGAACTTAACAGCAACGAAAAAAAAAGCAGAAACAGAAAGTACACACAGAGATTTATCCAGTTCAGGTGCATACCGCACCCTACGTATGGCCGAGTTTAACTTGGAATCCACTAATCACCGTGTTTATACAACGCCGTCATCTCTCACCAGAAAATCCCAAAAGAACATTCACTCACTGGAATTTCTCACTCTCTCTTTGTTTTCCCTCTCGATACAATAATTCTCTCACCCAAAAATATGATTGATCAATAAACAAGAAACAGCCCAATGAACCCATTTTATATGATTCTCCGATTACAACAGCCCGTAACTGAAACCAGCTCGTGATGCTCACTCGCTGCAACAACCTTCTCGGGAGTCTGCGTTTCTTGTTTCTTCAGCTTAACAAAGCTCCAAAACTACTGCGTGTAGTGACAAACACTTAACCACATTTCCCGAGTCTAAACCGAACTCAAATGATAGGGTTCAGATTTTACCTAAATAAAACTACTGCAAGTGCATAGCAAAGCAGTTGTAGTGTAAGGGTTATCGAATCCCAAGGGAGAAAGTAAACTACACTAATAGTTATAGATTCGGACTAGGCTAAGCAGTAGAAAATAAATGTAATGCAAAATAAATAAAACTATGAAAGCAAACGATTTTTGGTTGATCTAGATTCAGAAAACTAAAAGCGCTATGTCAGGACAATTCGCAGGTTGAATCCGAGAGTGTAGAATGCATGCAAATCAGGAATGAATTAAAACCGTCTTGAACATGAAACACAAAGGTATAACAAATTAATTCTCATGTCTAAATCACAGAGTTTCAAATCTATTTGCAAACTCTAACAACCTAAACATACAGTAATGATCATGTTCAATTGTTCACAAAACTCCTAAGCCAAATCTCTTTGCAAATAGACGTTACGCTCATCTAATACTAGTTCATGTGATCAATAACGTTCTCACATCTATTAAACAACCTACGGTTTCGAAATCTAGATGATGAGTCTAAGAAATCGATATGAATGCAAGCACAGATGAAGAACCAATGGATTTCCTATCAGTTTAGCAATTCTACAAACTCTTCATCAACATTTGAAAAGCCTTAACTTAACTAACAAACTACTCAGACATGGTGAATTGAGAAAACATCATGAATATAATAGATTGTATAGAAGAAATAAGAAATAGATAAAGGAGTTTGAAATCTGCTCTGAAGGAGTCTGATTTGTCTCTCCAAAAGCTCTGCTACAAATCTCTCTAGAAAATAAGATAAAAGATATATGCCAAAAGAATGGCTGAAAAGCCTAATATACAAGCTAAAACACAAGCTGGAGTCTTCTTGTAAATAATGGAACTTCTGGGCCAAAACTACAATTTCCTTTCCATCTTTTCAATAGAAGTCGCGATTTCTCTATAGAGGCTGGTGACAAGCATCACCCACTGCAGGACAACGGTTTTAACTTGTTTTCTTCGGGGTTGGTTCTTGCAATGATCCAAAAAGCTCCAAAATCTCCACTTATGCTCCAGTCATGCTATAACCTGCAAAGACTCTACTAAGACTCTAAAAAGAATAAAAAAACTCAATAAAAAGGACTTATATCATGGTTAAAAAAATATAAAAACCATGATAAAAAAAACCATGACAAACACTTAACCACATTTCCCGAGACTAAAACCGAACTCAAATGATGGTTAACCTTCAATCAGCTCCAAACCAGACTACTGATTCAAAATCAGAGACCAATACATTCGACAGAGCACATACAAGAAATGAAGTAATAAAGAAACAAATATTCCAAAGAACATATTCTTTTTTTCCTTTTCTTAGCCTCATTTTTTCTATAGTGTCACATTGGTCCAAAACCACAGTTCAATAGAAATAGAAAAAGATCAAAGATTCATCAAGTATTGATTACCTTCAACAGTATTTTTACAAATTTCCCCATTGTGCATACTCCTTTTTAAGCCTTGTGAATTATCATCAGCATCCCAAATCTCTCTCTAATTGATATTTTTTTCTGATTAACTTACGTTTTTAGACATATTTACTTACAATTACAAGTGGCAAGATAATTCAACACAATAAATAATCTATCTGTTACTATCAAAGTCCTATAGAAAATGGATGCTCTTTGTGATCCCATATTTTGTTTTCTCAGCTTCACCGACGTTGCAGTGCCCCATTTAATTAGCTGCAACTATCAGAGTGGTCTCTTGTACCCTTTTTGAATATCTGGCAGAGAAGACTGCGGCCACTGTGAATTCATGCTTGACTGTAGTGGAGGATTAGCAGAGCTGAACATATCCACTGTCAAGTTCTGAATCTTAAGTATGAGCTATGACTCTCCTATCATAAGACTTGCCAGATCGGATTATATGGACAATCTATGTTCTCCCCAGATCCTCGAAATGCAACATTCAACCTAGCTAAGTGTGTCAACTTGCATTGACAACGACATGCATGCATAACATTATATTACGACTGTGACTACCTTTCAGGCTTTCACCTCCTACGTATGGCGGTAGTAACGTAGTTACTTGGGAGAGCTTGGTTGTAGGGCTGATAGAAACGATGGAAGTTACTATGTGACGAGAAACCTCCCATCCCCTGTACCTCGTGAGACTGGTGGCTTTCTTAAAAAATTCAAACTAATATGAAAAAAAAAAAAAAAACATTAGTATTCCCGCGTCTGGACCGTATCTAAACAAACTACGAAACACTTCAACTCAAGATAATCTAAAAGAGGCTCTTAAGGATGGTTTTGAGGTTAATCTTAACCAAGAATGTTCGATCATGGAATCTGATGGTGCTTGCGGATATAATCAAAGCTCAGGTGGATTCGTTTGCTATTGTAAAGATCGAGTCATAACCATACTTCAATGAAAAAAATCACCACCTGTCTCTATCCCAAATCTCCCCACCCACAGACCTTTTGATACGATCATCTACACAAAATAAAACTCTTTATATCCAGATAACTCTACAAAATCTCCCTTGATTTTCACATTTTTCTTTTTCATGTAACACTCAAAGTAATGTTTTCCCTTCGAACTGATTATTTTTCTGGTGCCATTCAATTGATTCAGACCTTTCTACTAGAGCAAAAGCAGGTGTTGAAACTTGGATTGGAATCTCTCACGATTTGCAGATTAAGCTTGTGGAATATGGAAAGCGAAAGCAAATCAACGACACACGAACTGTTCACCCAGAGTTCACAAAGATGGCTCTGGGGAGAGATCTGTCTCCCTCAACTGCATTCACTAGATCACAAATACATATTACAACTCAGGCGATTAAGTCCAATTACAGAAAACAGATAAAAGATCACGGAACCAAGAAGGACCTGGCTGGATCCGGTAACGCTTGCGGAGGATCAAATGACGACTCCTCAATTCTCCGGTAAGGTTTCCGATCACTCTCTCGACTTTTTCTGTTCGCTATCTTTCTCTCTCTGCTCTTTCTATCTCTGTAACAAACTTGCTATCTACTTGCAGGTTCTGAAGAATGAAGACGATGACTTCATTAACCAGATTTGCGGATAATGGGTCGAACAAAGCAACACGGCCCAAGAGGAAGAGATTGGCATAGTGGGCTTGAGGCCCAAGAAGCATAAGGTGTTTGGCTGAACCCAAATCCACAAACTCCACCTTTCAGTCACCAACACCGAACACTCCGTCACTCAACAGCCACTCGAACATTTGTCGATCCAAATCCCCACCAATGATAAACTGATACTTCACCGTCGGAAACAACTGCCGAACTTTCCTTTCTGATGACAACCGGGAAGCTTGAAACCCAGGTACCACTCTCAGGAACTGATTACCTCTGATTCGAGTGTTCACTCACTCAATCTGCTTCTTGACATGCAATGGACTCAAAAGTCTCGGTCTTTTGAATTTGCAGTAACCCTCGAAGATCTCGGAAGACTCTGACACTGCACAAACCTCCTTCAGGTGATGAACACTTCCCCTGAAGACACTTTAAAACCTCTCGCTTAGCCAGAATTTCTGACTTTCAGTAATCTCGAAGACCAGTCTAAAAAAAATCTTCTCATCTGTGTAGAAACTCCACCTGGAACTGAAGACATCGGCCAACCCGTTCCACAGCTCTCACGGGTAACTCACTCTATCCTCAAATCAACATATTTAAATATTGTCAATGTTTAGCAGAAACAAAAGTACTGACTTTTTACCTCTGTTTCTGTACATGCGAGAGAACCTCTGATAGTGGAGTTACCCGGAGCCTTCAAGGGTATCAGGAGATGTTCACCAAATCACAACAGAGCTCAAACTTTGGCCCCGGTAAAGCTTTAGTTAAGAAATCTGCTGGATTCTTGCTTGTGTGAATTTTGAATAGGACCACATCTCCCTGTGTGATGATGTCTCGTATGTGATGATATTTGGTAGCAATGTGTTTGGTCCTCTCGTGAAACACATAGTTCTTTGCAAGTGCCAAAGTACTTTGTGAATCACATTGGATCTTCACACTTCCTTTGTTTCAACCCAATTCATTACATATTCCCTTTAACCATATGGCTTCTTTCACAGCTGATAAAAGAGCCATGTATTCAGCTTCCGTAGTAGATAGAGCAGTCACTGACTGTAGCTTAGACCTCCAACTGACTTTATTCCCCCAGAATTTGAAGACGAATCTTGACATGGATCTTCTTCTGTCTAAGTCTGTAGCATAGTCTGAATCACAGAACCCTTCAACACTGAAATCTGAACTTTTTCTGAAAGTAAGACAATCCTTTGAAGCTCCCCGTAGATATCTTAGCACCAATTTCACAGCAGCCTGATGTTCCCTTCCTGGATGTGACATGTAATGACTGATCACACCCACAACATAAGCCAAATCTGGTCTTGAGCCTATCATGGCATACATGAGACTTCCCATAGCACTAGCATAGGGGACATTTTCCATATGAGCAGCTTCTTCCTGTATTTCTTCCTTGGTTAATCTTTTCAGCTTGAAATGAGAGGCTAGTGGAGTAGTAACTGATTTTACTTCACTCATGTCAAATGCCTTCAGCACTTTCTCGATGTATCTCTCCTGAGATAAAATCAAAACTCCCTTCTCCCTATATCTGATGATATCCATCACCAAGATACGAGAAGCCTTCCCTAGATCCTTCATCTCAAACTCTCAGTTCAGGCTGTCTTTGATCTTATGTATCTCAGACATACTTTATGATGCTATCAGCATATCATCCACGTATAACAATAAGTAGATAGCTTGTTCTGTATTTAAGTTTCGCATGTAGACACACGAGTCAAAGCGACTTCTCTTGAAACCCACTCCCTTCATGAATCCATCAAACCTCAAGTTCCACTGTCTTGGCGACTGTTTCAATCCATAAAGTTATCTCTTTAGAAGACACACCTTGTTCTCATCTCCTTTCTTAATGAATCTCTCTGGTTGACTCATCAAGATTTTTCATCTAGGCTTCCATGCAAGAATGCAGTTTTAACATCAAGCTTCTCTAGCTCATAATCCGTGTTCACAATAGTAGATAGCATAATTCTGATAGAGACGTTCTTGGCTACAGGTGAGAAGATCTCATTGTAGTTAATTCCCTCCTTCTGTGAAAACACCTTAGCAACAAGCCTTGCCTTGTACCTCTGTTTTTCAACACCTGGTATTCCCGGCTTGAGCTTAAAGATACACTTGCAACCCACAAGCTTAGCATTCTTTGGCTTATCAATGAGATCCCATGTGTGGTTCTTTGCGGTTAATCCATTTCCTCTACTGCAGCATTGTTCCATATTTTCCACTTAGGACTTTTATTAGCCTTTGCAAACATCTTAGGTTCTTCCTTCTCTATAGCTTCAGCAATTGATAGAGCACAAGCCACAAAATTAGGATCTCTGTATTTCGCAGTCTTTTTTCTGTCTTCTCGAACTGCCCTGTCTCTCATTAGTAGATAATCATTTGCTGGTGGATTCTGATCTGCTCATCTTCTTCTCTGAATGTGAGCCCCTCTGTATCACTGTCCCCATCTGACCAATTTGAACTGTCATATTCTTCTGTACCTGCTGAATAGTCTGAATCGTTCTAATCTGAAACATCTCCACCTGGAGAAGAAGTCTCACCATGTTCAAACTCAGTTGAACTCGGTCCTTGAATGAGCTGTTCATCAAATGTAACTCTCTTCCCATTCCCCTTCTGTCTCGAGATGTCTGAATTTTCTGATCCAGCAGATTTCTTATCCTCCAAAGTGTCCTTGTATATCTCATCCTCTCTGAACACAACGTTTCTGCTAGTTACACATTTCCCATCTTCTGGAATCCATACCCTGTATCCCTTGATTCCAAAAGGATAGCCCAAGAAGACTCATTTGGTTGCTCTAGGACTTGTCTTTTCCTGTATTGTGTGAACACAGGCAGAACATCTGAACCTCTTGAGATGTGACAAATCAGGCTTGTGCCCTAACCACTTCTCGTCAGGAAGTTCAAACTCAATCGTAGAGTTTGGTGTTCTTTTTATGAGATACACAGCCGTAGATGTAGCCTCTGCCCAGAATTCATGTCCCAATCATGTCTCAGCTAACATGCTTCTCACCTTGTCCATGATCGTACGATTCATCTTTTCAGATACACCATTCTGTTGTGGTGTATATGTACACGTTTTGTGTCTCTTGATTCCCAAAGACTGATACAGATTATCAAACTGAGAGTTGCAAAACTCCAAGCCATTGTCTGTCCTTACACACTTTATTTTCTTCTCCGTGTGCTGCTCAACAGTTTCTTTCCATTCCTTAAACTTCGAGAAAGCTTGGTCATTACTCTTAAGAAAATAAACCCAAACCTTCTTTGAGTAATCATCAATGAAGCTTATGAAATACTTGCAAACTCCGAGACTTTCTGGAGTTGATGGGGAACCCCACAAGTCCGAATGAACATACTCCAGAATTCCTTTAGTTGTGTGCTTAGCTGTAGGGAAACTTTGTTTGTGAGACTTTCCAAGAACGCAACTCTCACAAAACTCTAAAACACCAACTTCGGTCTTAGGCAGAAAACCATCTTTAACTAGAACCTCCATGCTCTTTGAACTCATGTGACCAAGTCTTGAATGCCACAGACTTGTTGTCACTTTCTTAGGTTCAGCAAGACTAACTTCTCTCTTAGTTACTTCTCCCTCTAGGTAATACAAACCTCCGTTGTACTTACCCGAAATAATTTTTCTTCCGTCCTTGTAGAACATAACTGTGTAGTCTCCTCCCTCATATTTGCATCCTTCTTTTTCTAGCATTCCGTATGAGATGAGGTTTCTACTCATCTTAGGCATATACCTCACGTCAGTGAGTATAACCACTGAGCCATCTGGATTCTTAATCCTTATCTTGCCAATGCCTTTAACTTTACTGTGAGTGCTGTTTGCCATCAAAATCTTTCCCCCATCCACCTCTCCAAAATCAAAAAGTAGATCCTTATTAGGAGTTATGTGAAAAGTACATCCGAGTCCATAACCCATTCATTTTCTGAATCCTGAACACTTGCTGTGAGAACTAAAGTTTGTCTGTCCTCTGTAGCTATATTGGCCGAGGAATCTCCTTTCTTTTGGCCTTTGCTAGGACAGTCTCTTTTCCAATGTCCTTCTTTTCCACAGTTAAAACATGTGTACTTGTTTTTTTACTGAATCGGTTATTTGACTTAGACCTGTTGTTACGGTTTTTTTAACGACTGTTCTACTTATTGTTTTTGCCATTTTCGTTATCAGGTCTCTTGTCTGATCTTCCACGGGACTCTGTCACGTACAAGCCTTCAGCTGCAGATCTTCCTTTTCCAAGAAGGCCTTTACTCCTCAGCTCAGCTTCTTTTGAGTACGCGGGTGTAACCACTTCTTCTACTGTGATGGTTTCTTTTCCTGCACCGTATTGAAGAGTGTGAACCGGCGGTTCATACAGTGGAGGTAAGCTTGATAGTTACTTTTAAGCTTTGTAAATCAGCTACAAGTTTTAAGAATATGTCAACATTTTCTTCTATTGACTTCCCTTCTTCCATCTTGTAGCATGAGAACTGCTTTTTCAAATATATCTGGTTCGGGAGCGACTTCTTCTAGTAATGCTTATCCAGAGCTTTCCACTGTCCCAGACCAGTGGGCTCATACATGATCTTTCATAGGATTTGATCATTTAAGCAAGTTCCTAGTAAGCTCCGAACTCTTCGATCTAAAACTTCTTTTCTCTTATCTATCATTGTTGCTGACCCTGACTTTTTTCTTGGCTTTCCAGTGACTGTCAGGATCGTGAAATCATCTGATAATACATCAAGTAAGCCTTGAATATCAACTTGGCCTAGGAATTTGTATTTCCACATACCAAAATTCCCTTTTCCGTCAAATTTATCCATCTTAAATCTTCCCTGAGTAGCTTCCATATCCTCTGACTTTATCTGACCAATCTTTGCAGATTACAGACTCACTGATCCTGAAGACACGGCCCACAAACAACAGCGAAGACACCAGACTGAACACGGATACTGAACCAACGAGAACCGATGATCAACAACCACTGAAACTTGAGCAAACACTGCGAAGGATAACCAAAAACCTCCGACTAGCTAAATCAGGTACGATTCCTTTCC